CTGCTCTGGTGTTTCTCTCTAGAAAACAAACCTTTATTTTAAAAAAAAAAAAAAAAAAAAAAAGACAGGAACCTGACTTACTGTTGGGTCCCCACCATTAAACAAGTGCGCCAGAACATGACACACTCTTGCTGGCCCCACTGGCCAACAATCAGGAAGTGAGTGACCAGGGGAAAACTCGGTGTTGTCTCCTGCGTGTGTCCCTTACTGGTAATGCACACAGAACACTTCCGGTCACCACGTGTGAGGGGTTTTCCCCCAGTTGGGCGTCCTACAATTTAACTCATTTCTGTCACTACGGCACACTGTACATGCCAGAGACAAATCCAGGCTGTCACCTATGCTTCTGACCAATGGGCCATAGAAATCAGAGGTTCCCATGACCCTTCCCCCACAGATTCAGTTAATTTGCTAAAGCAGCTTACAGAACTCAGGGAAACACTTACGCATATTTGCCAGTTTATTAATGGATACAGCTGAGCAACCAGGTGAGAAGATAGGTAAGATCTGGGAACCAGCCCAGGAACTTCTGTCCCCATGGAGCTGGGGTGTGTTACCCTCCTGGTGTGAATGTGTTCACCAACCAGGGAGCTCCCCAAGTCCCCGACAAGGATTTTTATGGAGGCTTCTCACATAGGTCTGATCAATTATTTACTCCATTTCCAGCCCCTCTCCTCTCTCTAGAGAAGTGGGGAGAATTAGCAGAAAATTCCAACCTTCTAATCAGCTCGGTCTTTCTGGTGACCGCCCTCAATCTAGGAGCCACCCAGGAGCCCACCCAGAGTTCCCTCACTAGAACAACGACGGTCCTTGTGGCCTTACCACTCAGGGATCTACCAGGGTTTTAAGAGCCCTTTGTTAAGTCTGGGGTCAAAGATGAAATACTCATGCTTCTTGTACTCTTACCACTTCGAAAATTACAAATGTTCTAGGAGTTCTGTGCCAGGAACTGGGTACAGAAACCAACATATAAATAGTTTCTATTATCGCACACCGAGATGGAAGACTAAGCTGTCCTTAACGGGAAGGTCACACAGAAGTATCAGTAGCATGGAAACATGCTATGACCTGAGTTTAAGGACAAAAGCAACATACTAACTTGAATGATATATATAAAAAAGCACTCCCCAAGGATTAAATGTTAGCAGTAGTTGTCTCAAGGTCGATTTATAGGTAACTTCTTCCCTTGCCTCTTTATATTTCTCTTTACTTTTCCCAAATTTCCATAATGAACACATAATGTTTTTATGATCAGGGATAAGGAAGTCAAATATTCAATTTTTTTTAAAAGATTTTATTTACTTATTTGACAGAGAGAGAGCACAAGTAGGCAGAGAGGCAGGCAGAGAGAGGGGAGGAAGCAGGCTCCCCGCTAAGCAGGGAGCCCGATATGGGGCTCAATCCCAGGACCCTGGGATCATGACCTGAGCCAAAGGCAGAGGCTTTAACCCATTGAGCCACCCAGGCGCCCCCAATGTTTGTTTTTTAATCGGCAAATTGTGGGCCACGCAGACACCCTGATGTCTAAATATTAGACACAAAGCTATGTCAACGTATAATAAGCCCTTCTTAACCATGAAACAGTATCAACTCCAATAACATCAGGTCAGAGCACACTCAGATCCGCAGAAAGAGTGCTAATGTTCACTTCTGATATGCAAGAAAGTGTAATGCAGAAAACTGTTTTTGTTTTTCTTTTCAAATATGAGGTTTCAAGCATACTGCTATTATCGCTTGTCCTACTGGATCTCCACGCGGGCGTACCAGCGTGCCGGCAGAAACACGTCTGGTCACACCGCTGACAGAAGTCTACTGCCAGAGGCAGGCAGTGCTGTCCCGTACAAGACAGATTTCTCTTTTTTCAAAAAAGGACTATTTGACAAGTAGCTATCTGGACGGAAATTGGAGCTGACACATTTTTGCTGTGTTATCTTGATGGAATTGCTTTTTAGCTCCCCATACTCAAGTACTAATATATTTCTCTCCTCATATTTGAAACGGAACATTCTGACAAAGGATAAAGATCTGGAAGCGTAAACACTATACTTGCCAAGAGTTAAAAAAAAAAAAAAAAAAATCCTCCTACCTTCTTCTACTTTGGGTTACATTAGCTCATAAATAGGCTGAAAATCTTGGGACACATCAAATTTCTCTGTTTAAAACAAGTAACAAGTAACAAAAAAGTACACAAGTACTAAAAGCCTAAACAAGTACAAAAGATAATAGTACAGATGTGCAGACATTCTAATTAAAACATCTGAGGGGCGCCTGGGTGGCTCAGTGGGTTAAGCCTCTACCTTCAGCTCAGGTCATGATCTCAGGGTCCTGGGATCGAGCCCCACATCGGGCTCTCTGCTCAGCAGGGAGCCTGCTTCCTCCCCCCTCTCTCTGCCTGCCTCTCTGCCTACTTGTGATCTCTCTCTCTCTCTCTCTGTGTCAAATAAATAAATAAAATCTTTTTAAAAAAATCTGAAAAGTCACTCTTATTTAAAAGTTTTTATTTAAAAACTCAGTGATACCAGATTACAGTCTGACCCTACCTCGTAAGAACAGTTGCAACTAAGTGTTCCATTTGTGAGTGTTAAGCAGCAGTAAAACAGACCTTTCTTGATAGTATCTACTGTATCAATGATATTCGATATTGAGAAGGAAATAACACAGCTACAATTAAGAAAAGTTTTCAGAGCAGCTTCCTGCCACAGATAACAGACATTCTTTCTTAAATGGCGACGTAAACCATATAATAAGAAACAGGGACTCTAATTGCTACAAAACGCTTAGAATGTGGCTGCCCTGATCTGCCAGCACACAGTTGCACATTTTTTTAAGCCGGCTCCACACCCAGCACGGAGCCCCACACCAGGCTCGAATTCACGACCCGTGAGATCATGACCTGAGCGGAGATGAAGAGTCACGGATGCTGAACCGACGGAGCCGCCCAGGTGCTCATCTGCCGGCGGATCGTCTCAACAGCCCAAGGAACCCTTTCCAACCAGAGCTACGTGGACACAATAATGACGTTGTGTGTAAAAAGCTCACAGGTTAGAAAACACTGCAGAACTTCAAGTTACTGCATTACTCTCAGTGAGTCAATCCGAAGTACTGAGAATGGAAACGGACATGCAAAGGCTTGTGACTTCGAGATAAGAATGCGTTTTGTGAAAAATTCTGACCAAAAGAGAAAAGCAGCAGCTATTAAGCCCATCTAGTAAAGCGCACTTCTGGTCTCCCGCAGCTGACTCGGAACACAGCGCGGCTAACGAGCTCAGACGCGTCCCAGGACGCCGGCTCCTGCTGGCCGCCTCCAACCTACGCGCATTCCCACTTGCAGGCCACCCAACGCCCGTCTCGGCCGCAGGTAAAGGCCACAGAGCTAAGCGTGGAGTCCAGAGACCGAGATTTTAGGAGCCCACGAGGCACCCAGCCTGCCCGCCTTATAAATCACCCACCCAGCTTGATCATCTATAAAGAGTCCAAGACGATCGGACACCACGTGCGGATTCTGCGCTGCCTACAGAACGTCAGCCTTAATCGCCAAATCACCAAACACAGGTACGGATTTAACTTCTCCAGCACAAAAGAGGGGGAGGGGGAGTTGTCAACATCTGAACAGTCCGGAAACATGTATGTACATGTCAGCACTGCGGAGTCCGTTGGGTTTCCACCCATTCATGCTCTAAGGATCACTGTGAAATACCATTAAGTGTGCTGCGCTAGACCTCGTGTGCGGCTCAGACAGGAGCGAGGAATCCAGCTGAGGAGAAAAGCAGCGAAGATAAAACAAAAGAAATGACGTGTGTTTATTGATACAAAACCCAAGGAGAGAGACGGGGACGGCGTTCTGCCCCTGGGGAAGGCTTCAGACCTGAAGTGCTCATGACACCGAGCCCCACGGGTCACAAAGAACTTCCGCGGGTCACAAAGAACTTCTGCAGGTCAAAGACACAGAAAGAAAGGGTGACCCAGGCTCCGGGGAGGGAACCCAAAACTCAAGAAGTGGTGGGCCCATCGGCAGGAAGTACGGCCTTCTGAGGCCGGACAGAGAAGGGTGAAGTATGTGCCGGGCAAAGGAGAGAGAGGAGGGATGTTCAAAATGCAGATTCTCAAATCCCACTAGGAATAAGAAACTGATTTTTGAAGGTCCTGCGGGTCTTCCCATTATCTGTTGTGTTTGGGTAAAGTGTCGAGAACTGCGGGGCCAAAGCGAGAGGACAGGAAGGGGGATTGCTACATGAGAACAACAGAGGCAGAACTAACAGAAAATACCAACTATCGAGATCGGGGTTAATGGAAAAGAAGAATCAGAAGGCGACGTGAGGTCTGAAAGAATAGGAAAGTAAGTATGACGTAAGAGAAGGCATAAGAAAGGGCAAATATGGGCTCCTGGGTGGTTCAGTCAGTTAAAGCATCTGCCTTCCACTCAGGTCATGATCTCCTGGTCCTGAGATCAAGTCCCACCCAGGCTCCCTGCTCAGCAGGAAGTCTGCCTCTCTCTCTCTCTCTTCTGCTTCCCCTGCCCTCTCTGTGTCAAGTAACTAAATAAAATCTTTTAAAATAAAATTGAAAAACAAAAGAAAGAAAGGGCAAATGTTGGCAGAGAAAGCCAAAATCTGGACATTCTGAGGTTGCATTCCCTACTGGGTAGGAAATTTGGTCTTAGAAATTCAAGAAAATTAGCCTCATATTTGACCATATACAATATTTGCTGGCACATCTTCTAGGGCTGCTACGAGCTGGCTACTTTGCAACGTTTTATTAACTTCTGGACTATGTCTCTGTCTCCCTAAATACGTGAAGGGCAAATTATACATATAAGGCAGAGTGCTACAAACTTAAGAGGAACTCAACAAATATTTACTGAATAAGAAAGTAGAAGGCTAAACAAAGGTTGAAGGTTTTCTTCTTTTTTTATGATTATTATTTTTAAAAGAAAAGGAAAAAAACCCTCTTCTCCACTTCTTTTCTCTCTCTCGCTCTTTTAAAGATGTCACAGTTCTTACCTTTGCTGCCAAAGCTTTTAAGCTATCGAGGAATCTCTGCCAGAAATCCTTGAAGAGTGGGCGGTCGATTTTCTTCAGGCGATCTTCGGTGCTAGCATCCACACTGACATACAGCTGGGTAACTGGTTTGAGGTTCCTTCGTAATTTAAAAAAACAAAAAACGGGAAAAATTATGCCTGTATCAGGCTTTTCATGATGTAGAATTTACAGCCTACAGGAGATGGGGTAATAAAACATCGCACAGGTCTACAGGCTTCTGCCTCTCCCAAAGGACTGAAGAAACGATTTTCATAATGTGGCAGGATGGGCTGTCAGTTGATTATGTCTAACAATGACCGGACGCCATTCTTAAGAAACTGAAAGCGTTCAATCACTTAAAATTGGCCCCTCTTCAAACACTAGCTTTTAGTGGAAAACAAACAAAATGAGATCTAGCTTCAGGTCAGGCACCATGAGCCCAGGGCAATCAGAAGGGGTCTCAGACTTGGGTTTCGCCGTGAACTCCGCCGCTCAAGCTTCATACGGCGGAAGCGCCGCAGCCGTGTGGGGTCTGTGCTGACAGGCCACCTCCCATCCTCAATTCACTGAGGAAGAAGTTTTCGAAGGACCGAGAAACAACCCAAAAAGCTCAAACCTTTTTTGAGCCTCACCTGTGCCTTGGAGAGCCAGAGTGGGTTTAAAGTTCAGCCTTGTGGAAGCGAACAATGACCGACTAGTCAGGGAGCTCTAAGCAGTGTGAAGCTAAAAGAGCAACCAAGCCTTATAAAGGACCATACCCCCAAGAAGAATGTGTGCGGCAGGTTAGGCTTCTGTGCCTTCTTGATCAGTCTCCTGACCACCACTCACCCTCCACTACTCCACATCACGGACTCATTTCGTTAAAGTCATTCATTCTTATCTAGTCCACTTGGTAGTTAAAGTCCAGACTGCATGCTTTCCAAAACCTTCCTGTTCTCCCTTCAAATGGGTCCCATAGGGGCTCCTGGGTGGCTCAGTTGGTTAGGCATCTGCCTTCGGCTTAGGTCATGATCCCAGAGTTCCGGGATCAAGCCCCACATGGGGCTCCCCACTCAGTGAGGAGTCTGCTTCGCCCTCTGACCGCCCCCTCTTGTGCTCTCGCTCTCTCTCTTTCTAATAAATTAAAAACAAAAAACAAAAGAGTGTCATAATTCATCTTCTTCGATAAATTTGCAACTAGGAAGACATTTCCCTTTAATAATGCTTTGACCAAATTCTTCACTATTAGCTTTCCAGAATTTGTATTTACCCCCAGAATTTATTTATGCATTTTTTGCTTCAAAGTCTATGCACTTTTAAAAACTGAAATATAATTCACATGCCATAAAATTCACCACCGAAGTGGTTTATGTTTTTGTATCTATCAGTATCAGCCTAATCAGTCTCTGACTGTTAAGACCTCGAAGGGCAAGAACCGTATTTCTTTTAACCCAGCCACGCAGGCAGGTCCGTGAAGCTACTTTTTACTCGGTATTGTTGACTTGAGCTAACCTAACTTTTTAGGGCATGCAGGCCAAACCAACGCTTGTAATGATCTGGTTAGTGACATATGGAAAAATCAGAAGGGTCTAAACCCAAAGTTATTAAGAGTGGAGACTCTCTGACCAAAGTTAAGAAGTGATTAAAATACTGACAGACTCATTGCTTTAATCCGTCTCCAACACTGGCATACAAAGGGAATCCTTAAAAGTTCAACCCTGTGTCACGACTGAGCAAAGGACATCAATTACTGAAAACGAAAAACAGGAGCATCCTGTTAATGGCACATTCGGTCTCATCACCCCTCTTGCTGGGGGCCTCCTTAATAACAGACAAGCTATGCTACCTTAACTGGACTTTATGTCGTACAGAAAATAGAAGTAGAAGAGACTGTTTTAACGGATACTGCTGGCTATCATTATCTGATACTTACAGGACTTTGTCATAAAGCTGCCTAATGCAAAGTGGGAACCAGCGTGACCTTTCACTACGCCTTCGTAACTACTTAGGATTATGAACAGTAAATTCCAAAGGCCACAGTTATTTTACAAACTTCCTTCACTTGCAAAAAAGGAAGCCCTGGACACTAACAGTACCAGTAAGAAATTTTAGTCGGTACTAAAATCTGAGATGCTATGATCAAGGAAGTTTGTACATCTCTTACCAAAGAGCCGAGGAAGCATGAAGAGGAGTTAAAGTCCCTGGGAATTACAGGGCTTATTCCTAAGGGACTCAAAACATGAAAAGTACCTTGGAGAAATATTCTGAGCCTCAAGGATCTTACATCTGCCTCGGATTGGCCTCTATTCCCCAGGACAAGCAAGAGGTTCTTGGCACGGCCATTTATCCATCACCATTCTATACAGAGATTGCATCGTTTTTGTTCCCAAAATGCAAGAGAATGCTATAACCTTAAAATAATGATAATAATTTGTGACAATGCTGCTGAGAACAATTAAAAAGGACAATAAAATAAAAGGGAAATACAATCCTAAACCCCATCCCCAGTGAAAATACCCAGTGAATCTTGGTAAGATTATTGTGACGATCCTTCATCCTGCTCATTTAAATCTGAATTAAGAACAATCATAAATACAAATGCGCTGACAACTGGACATAAAAATCCCTCTTCCTTTTTTGCCTTTCCATAGAGATTAGCAGGCCACTGGCTTGGAAGGTAGAATGAGAAACAATCTCTACAGCAAGGAAAAAAGGTAGAGATTTAAGTTTGCAAGAAATCAAACAGCTTAGAGAGTAAGTTTGACGTTCCTACTGAACAAAACATTAAAAAAAAAATAACCAAAGTGGTCCAAACATCGACAGCATTAAAACCAGAATCTGGGCTGTTAGTTGCGGCCGAATTATGCAAGAGGAGAAGAGGAGGACGACGAAGGGGAAGGATTTACCGAGTATTCGTCAGGTGCTGGGTGCTCTGTGCTTCACCCTTCTCTTTAGTTCATGAAACCTTCACAGTAAAACAACACGGTAGTCGCTACTTCTACCAACTTTAGACACGATGAAACTGAGACTCAAAAGGCTAAGTAGCTTGTTTGAGAATCCACAAGTATCAATACTGACACCCAAGCTGAGATGGGACCCCAGAGCCTGCTCCCCCAGCCCCGCACCTCAACGCCTGCCTCAGACGGTCAGTTCACAGACAGTACTGGCTGGCCCTTTGTCAAGGAAAGCCTCACAGCAGTGTTTCTCCAAGTGTGGTCAGGACCACCCGTATCAGAGGCACCTGCAAACTCACGTTCCGGGGCCTCTCTCAAGACTGAATCATCTTCTAGGAATGGAGCCTTAGAAAGTGTATTGTTGTATTAGTTTCAAGAACTTCTCCACATTGATCAAGTAAGTTGAAAACACAAATAAATGGGAAGATATCCCATGTTCATGGATCAGAAGAATTAATATGGTGATAATGAAAATGACTGTTAACACCCAAAGCCATCTATAGATTCAGGGCAATCCCTACTAAATTCCAATGACCCTTTTCACAGAAAGAGAAAAAACAATCCTAAATTTCCTACAGAACCACAAAAGACTCCAAATAGCCAGAGCAATCCTAATGAAAAAAAAAGAACAAAGCAGGAAGCATTGTACTTCCTGCTGATCTGAAACTACAGCACAGAAATACAGTAATAAAAAAGTATGATGTTAACACTCACATGAAAACATGAATGACATTAAAGCAAACAGACAAATGGAACAGAATCAGGAATCCCGAGATAAACCCATGTGTATATATAGTCAACAACGAGGGAGCCAAGATCACTCTATGTGGAAAGGGCAGTCTCTTCACCAAATGGTGCTGGGAAAACTGGATCCCTGCATCACTCACAAAAGCTAAGTCAAAATGGAGTAAAGACTTAAATAAAAGACCCCAAACTGTAAAATTCCTAGAAGAAAACACAGGGAAAAGGTCTTTCACCTTGGTCTTGGCAACAGGTTTTGGATAGGACACCAAAAGTGCAGGCAACAACAACAACAACAAAACGAACAAGTGAACTGCACCAAATTAAAGAGCTTCTGCACAACAAAGTCAGAGAGGCAACCTCCAGAATGGAAGAAAATCTCCGCAAATCATATGTCTGAACAGGTTTCATATCCAAAATATGTAAGGAACTCCTACAACTGAAAAGCAAAAAACCTAATCTGATATTTAAAAATGGGCAAAGGACTAGCACGGACATTTTTCCAAAGAAGACATGCGAGTGGCCAACAGGTGCTTGAAAAGGACCTCAACGTCGCTCATAAGCAAGGAGATGTCAATCCAAGTACCAGCCCCGTGGGGAATGGCTCTTCTCGAGAAGACAAGAGATGACACGAGCGATGAGGACGCACAGAGGAAAGGGAACCCTGTGCACTGCTGGTGGGAATGTAAATTGGTACAGTCACTATGGAGGCTCCTCAAAAACACGAGAAACAGAACTACCATATGATGCAGCAGTCCCACTTCTGGGTGTTTATCCAAAAGAACGAAATCAGTATCTTGAAAAGATATCTGCATCCCCACGTGCACTGCAGCGTTATTCACAACAGCTCAGACATGGACAAGTGTCTATCACCGGATGAACGGATAAAGAAAATGCCACATTATTCAGCCATGAGGAAAAAGGAAATTCTGTCATTTGCAACATGACGGATGAACCTGGAGGACATTATGCAAAGTGAGATGAGCCAAATACGGAAAGACAAATGCTGCACAAACTTACCTGTATGTGGAATCTTTAAAAAGAAAAAGAAAGAAGACATTTTCGATTAGCTGTTTTCTTCCCTGTGTATGGGCCACCACACTCACTTCTTGGTCTATTTCATGATTTTTTAAACAAACATTTAACATTTTATATAATATCACGCACGACTCTGGGCATCAGATACCTCCCAACGCAGGGCTGCTGTTTTTTATTCGTTTGTCGCTGTTTTCGTTGTTACTGAACTTCTCTGGTAAGTTCTGGAATCCTTCCTTGTGTTCAGCCTGCTTGGTTAGCTTAGTAGTCTGCTAGTGGCCGGCCAGAAACAGCCCTAAGCGCCTCAACCAGGAAGGCTCCCGCCTCCGCCGAGGCTTGTGTGTGTCGGGGCAAGTGGAGGCGGACAGCTGACAACCCTGCCTCGGTTTGCTTCAGACTTCAGCATCAG